CAGTGACGGTGATGGTCCAGCACGGGCGGCGAGGTGACAGCTAGGCAGAGCTCTGCATACAGGAACAGAAGAGGCCGCGTCGGTGGGCAGAGAACATCTCGGAAAAACGGTGAGCTATTCCACGCGGGTACACCATTGTGTGGACTACACTGTCCATGTAAATTGGTTCCGTTGAAAAATGGAATTAGAAGAAGCCATTTGAAAATTTACCTATTGTATATAACGTAACGGCGTTCTCAACTCTGTGACCATTTAATCATATTTCTATTTTTTTTTCTGTTATACCTTCTACGAATATACGATTTTATCCATTATCTTGAAATGTGCTTAAATTCCTGAAGCGACTAAATTTTTAAGCTATCGATCCCATTGACATGCCATTTTCATACTTAACGGCCATGAAAATGGGATTCATAGTTTTAATATAATTAATTTTTCTTGTTCATTTTTCAGTTCTATTATTAATATGAATTCTGGTCTGCGATGTGGAATTGGCTTTTAGGTACTTAATAATAAAAATAACTAGACCAAGAATCTTCAATTTTTTAAATATGTTAAATTTTTTGGTTGTAATAAAATGTTTAGGTTTTAAAATATAAGCATTTTCAGAAATAAAATCACAGATTCTAATCGCACATTTTTTTACAGGAAATTAAAAAAGAAAAGTGTATGTGAAGCGAATATGTGGGGGGAAAAAGTGAATCTATGCATTCACTTCTCTTTTCAAATTTCATTATTCACATTCAAAAACTTAATATAAGAATACAAGTATTTACAAAATTTTTTAAACTAATTTTTACAATCAATAAGATTTTCATTACACCGATCAGTCGCCGACACATATTGGGAAATGGTCTCGCAATTGTTCACCTCTGCCCCACATTAAACCTTCTTTCCCCTCGAAGTCGATACCGATTCCATTGTAAATCTCTGATGTACACTGACAAAGTCTGATCATTTGTGTTTCTTCAGAGAACAAAACTAACACAACGCGAGCGCACTTTTCTGGTGCAGCGCGCATCACTCGCAACGCCAGTGGAGCAGTCCATGAAGCGGAGGCCGAAGCCGTCAGCCATCGACGTCGCGACGGCGCCGTCAACGGCGTCAGCGGCAGCGCAGCTGTGAAAATGGACGACCGCGCCGCTTGGGCGAAGCGGTGCGGCTCAAGTGACGTCACAGCAGACCGCCGGGTCGGTCGAGATCGAGCTGGAACGTTGATTGTTACAAGGGTTTTGCGGGCATCTGAAATTGCGAATAAATATAATACTAGATGAGGGAATAGACGAAGAGAGTTTGGTTGAGGGCAGAAAGAGCGAGATATTGAACGAAAGAAAAAGGAAGATGAGTGCGATGGAGATTATACAGATGAAGTGGCGCGAAAACGCGTTGCGAGGAAAAAAGAGAGAGAGAAAGAGAAAAAGAGGGAGAAAAAGTGAGAGAAAAAGAGAGAGAGAGAGAAAGTGAGAGAGAGGAAGAGAGAAAAAGTAAGAGAGGAAGAGAGAGAGAAAGTGAAAAAGAGGAAGAGAGAGAGAGAAAGAGAAGAAGACAGAGAGAATGAGAGACAAAGAGGGAGGGAGAGAAAGAGGGAGGGAGAGAAAGAGGGAGAGAGAAAGAGGGAGAGAGAAAGAGGGAGAGAGAAAGAGGGAGAGAGAGAAAGAGGGAGAGAGAAAGAGGGAGAGAGAAAGAGGGAGAGAGAGAAAGAGGGAGAGAGAGAAAGAGGGAGAGAGAGAAAGAGGGAGAGAGAGAAAGAGGAAGAGAGAAATAGGGAGAGAGAGAGAGAAATAGGGAGAGAGAGAGAGAAAGAGTTGACGAAACGAAATTACGGCAAATACGATGTTACAAGTGTGGTGAATCGCTAACACACGAGATGAGAATAGTTATGACACGGGGAGAAATGGTAAGTAGTGAAGACTTTGCTAGAGAATTGATGGAGACATTACGAAGGGAGAGGTAGGGCTAAGACGAAGAAATGGGTGTGACTTATTCGAAGGGATATTGACGATAACTACACTTGGTTCTGTCGTCAAAATCACAACCACTGAAATGAGAGGAGGTAAAATAGAAGATGAATGGTATGCTCTAATAATTAGAAAATATGATGGACATCTTGAAGGAAAGTATGAAGGGTCATGAGGTTGCGATTCCAAATTGTTTGAACAGACATGGTTTCTCATAGGGGAAGGCCAGATAACAGATTTAAGTACCTCAGGGAATCAACTGATGTCACTAGGCGTTCGATTACTGGCGGCGGCAAAATTTTTTACACTTGCTACATAGCGGCGCTGAATTCAGTTGTTCCCTGGAGGAGAATTTTTGTGGCTGCCTGCTCTGATTGGTAGTTTTCCGTGGTTCAGTGCCCTATCACAGCCGGATCGCGCGCAAACATTGTTTTCTCTTGCTTATCCTATCCTCACTCTTTACTAACACTACACTCCCACACTTGTCGAGAGACCAGTTGAGAGATTAGAGTTTGTGAAGTAGGGGCGATGTCATGCTGATCAGAGGTACCTGGTTGGGGACAATAAACTCGAGTCTACGTAGGTCAGCGCTGGATCTCACCACCTAGCAGGGCAATATCACCGCCAGCTCCCACGATAAAACATGCACTTCACTTACAGGAATAATGACCTTAACCGTTGGCGCTTCTGGAATCATTAATCAATCAATTAACGAAGAGGGAAAACAAAACCTAGTGTCGGCATGGTCCTTCCACCCTGCCATGGGAATGCACTATCCCCCACGAGCTACACTGGTATGCGGATGGGTGAGCGGGTGGGTGTGCGGGTGTGTGTGCGGGTGTGTGTGTGTGCGGGTTGGTGTGCGGGTAGGAGTGCGGGTGGGTGTGCGGGTGTGTGTGTGTGCGGGTGTGTGTGTGTGCGGGTGT